GATCATTATCAGCTTTTCAGGACCCCAATCATTGTCATTACCAGATAACTCATAGCTGCTTTTCTTGACAAGTGGTATTCAACGGTTTTCAAAAAGTACGTTTGTGTTGTATTGTTGCTGCTGTAATACATGAATTGTAAAACTTGCTTTAAAAAGAGCAGATGAAACAGATGTCATCATAAATGTAGTTACACTAAGCCCCAAAAACCAAAATTCTAACTAAGCAAATTAAACACTCGGGTAGAAATCCACATGGCTTTATTTAGTGTGAAAAGTATCACATCCAAACTAATAAGGCAAACATGGTGACCCAAAACTGGCCCCAGGGGGAGGGGTTGGCACAGGATTTGGTAAGTCATTCATCATCAGACTCGTGTTGCCGTAAGTCTGTTTGCAGCCAGTGTCAGTGGCTTTCCTTTATATGTATTTGTGTCAGAATTGATATAGCTGTAGGGTATGGCCAAAACAAAACAGAAGATTTATACGTTAAAAAAGATTCACTAAACATAATTGTGAATGAACAATGGGTTTTAAGGAACCAAAGAGAGGTGATGTTAGGAGGTTAGACACTGACTGACACCAAAAAACCAAAGGACCATCAAGTTACTTTTTCAAGCAGCACAACTGAAGACTTGTGTGCCAGAAGTTTGATTGCTTTCCTTTTTGATACAGACACTCAAAGTGAAGTGGAATGCAATGAAAGTGAGAATAGGTTTCCTGTGTGGTCAATACATGACAGATGGCTTATGATTCAGCCGAGCTATCACGGGTGTGGTTTGAGGGGGAGGTTGGTGAAGAGTGCTGAAAGAGTGAGGTTCGTAGTGGCTAGGTAGTGGAAAGATGGATGGGTTGGTGGGACAAGAAAGGACATAAGTCAAGGTTCCATCAACCGCATGATATTACTGGCATGCAGCTCCTCTACTTCCCTGTTCATCCATGTGTGGAGACAAAACATCAGTATGAGCTTTTACCACACTTTACAGTGCCGAAGATGATTTAGAGCAGATCAATCACCACTTGTTTGCATCTGTTTTAGCTTTCTGCTTTTGAATGTTTTATTTATTTATTTATTTATTGGTTTGTGTTTTAGTCCTACCCTGGAGATGGTGAGAGGCATGTTGAAGTCCTTCCCTCCTTGTAGCCTGAAGCCCCAGGGGGCGGGGCTTAACAGAGTGACACTGTAGTTGCTGCTCATGGTCTCTCTGATAACGTTGTTGGATGTTGATCGATGCTGATGGATGTAAAAATAGTCAACAAATCGAATGTTAATGATGATGTGATGGGAGTCGCTCATTGGTTATGAGTTTTAGTTTAAAGTTTAAATCTGTTAAATTCTGTGGAAAGACTCTAACAAATATCATACTTGTTGATAAGTCTTCATAAAGCCTCTGCTTGGAGAAATAGAATTTACTTTCGGACCAGGTTGAGGAGTTAAGCTACTCTAAAGTGCTGCTGTCTTAAAACAGTCATGCAAATTTCAGATTGATTCATGCAAACACTGTTTATTAACCGTTACATCATCGTCAGTGTTTTATTACAGTTATCCCTGCAGGAATATTAAATAATTACTGTCACAAGCGCTCCAGTCTGTTTCAAAAGTTTTAAAGCTAGCTGCTAACTCCATACGTGCTTGCACATTTCTATACATAACCATGTGACATAAAACTGATAGTGGCGTAAAAGTTTTTGAAATGCATGAACTGCTTTGAATTTTTTTAACAGTGCTCTTGTTCTACAATGGCAGCATCCCACTTGAGCACTTGGGCTTTGACCTAACTCAGGCTAGCCATTCGCTCATTAATCTAGTACTTAAAAACTCTTTTTCATCAAACTGTGGAAACATACAAAAAGCTATTATTAGTTCATTCCTTTCCAGAACTTCACTTCAAAAGACCTGAGCTATCACTTTAAAATATTTTAAAATTTGGAGTAAAATACTCCAGAAGGGTATGTTTTGGATTTGCTCTTGTTAAAACAAAGCAGGAGAGAAAATGGAATATTGAATGTTACTGAACACAGAAAAATTGCAAAACTTACACAAAATGCGAGAAAATTAGACAAAAAAACTGGAAATTCGAAAATATGCAATAATAAAGATTAGAAATTAAATTACTTTTCTTGTATTTCCATAGTTTTCCATTAGAATTCTGTCTAAATGTGTTCTCATACATCTGGAAGCACTCTTTAGAGCAATTATTATATCATCCCCACTGTTCTGGAGCATGCTGCAGAAGTTTAGCACAAAACAGACTTACAATAGACTACCCCCTCATTAGAAGACCCTCTCATATTATTATAATTGCAACACATTTTCTGCAATTTTCTCTCATTATGCTGTGTATTTAAAGAGCATACCTCTTTGATTGAAATTCCAGAAAGGATGTAAAAAGAAAAGGCTTTACAGGCAGGTCAGCGCGTCCCCCAGTTTTCCCTGAACTATCCCTTTCCCAGCAAACCCACGGTGCCAGACAGCTACAGAGGGATGCAAGCTCTTTTATACCAGTTAATGGCAGTGGGAGGGGAAAGGTGGAGGAAGGGAAAGAAGAAGGACGTGAGATGATGAATGGGTAGATGCTGGGATGGGAGGAGAAAGGGAGGGGATTCAGTGATGGGTCGGGCAAAGGAAACGCATGAGGAGGAGAAATGAAACGAAGGGTGAGATTAAGGTATGAGAGGAGACAACTTTGAGCAGGGGGTGACACGGCCGAAGGGCGGATTATGGAAAAGAGCGTGGGAGCGTAGAGAAAATGACACAGAGAGGGAGGGAATAGGCATGGGAGAGGGAAGTGAGGTGCAAAGGGGAGAGGGGAGGTGTATCTTTCATCTGGATATTTTGGGAACATAGAGTCATGGCTGCAGGCTGCTTCATTCAAGATGAGACCAGTCATAAACAAGGGCAAGACCAGTCAACACAACCCAAAGGTTCCAACTACAAGGTCTTTCTTAGGTCGGTGATGTCATTTAAACATAAGATTGTCCCACTCCTGTTACGTGTTTGTTCTGCTGCTGCAGCAGCTGGTCCAGAAATAACACAGAGGGTGAAGTGTTATTTGATGCTCTCTACTCTCTTTGGTTCTTTTTATCCATCCATCCATTTTCTTTACCCGCTTCCTCCTTTCCAGGTCACAGGAAGCTGGTGCCTTTCTTAAGCAGTCTGTGTATCAGAGTTGAGGTACACCTTGGACCAGTAAGTCCATCACAGGGCCTCATACAGACCATGAATCGTTAACACTGTCAATTTATTGTTAACGTGCATGTTTTTAGTCTGTAGGAAGAATACTTTGCAGAGTACCTGGAAAAAAGCTATGTGCACAGGAAGAAACTTAAAGGCTCCAAACTGAGAAGCCAACCTTCTCGCTAAGAGGGAACTCGAACCACTGACCTGCCGTGTCACTCGTGCTTCAGTGGTTCTTTGTGTCCCTTTATAAACTGCATAAATATGCAGTTTTCTTTACACTTAAAGCTATATTTTCCACTTTTTAAGAGGCATGTAATGAATTAAAGACTTCTATGTGGAAGGAAACAGCAGCACGCTCATATCCACTTTATTTATTAAGTTGCATCGGTCTTTATGTCCAGACATCTGGAAGTTCTCCTTATTCCGCACTGGATTTTGTCCATTCTACCTTTTTTTTAGTCCAGACATGTTAATACTGACTTTTTGTACTGTTAAAGAATAGGCTTTGTTTAAACACCAAGCTCTGTTTTCTGTTTTGACAATGACCACACACACTCTGGGATTTCACGTTGCCAAATCTTTACTCCAAACTGCACTCACTGTTACAGCAATAACTCTGCAGATCAGTGCTGATCTACCAAGTAAAAAACATAAACATTTAGCAGAAGTCTCTCAGATACAGCGGGTAAAATAAGTATTGAACACGTCACCATTTTTCTCAGTAAATATATTACTAGAGGTGCTAATGACATGAAATTTTCACCAGATGTCGGTAACAACCCAAGTGATCCATACATACAAAGAAATCAAACCATAAATGTCCAGAAATGAAGTTATTTGTAATAATGTGGAATGACACAGAGAAAAGTATTGAACACATGAAGAAAGGGAGGTGTAAAAAGGCATGGAAAGCCAAGACACCAACTGAACTCTCTCAGTAATTAGAAARCAAGCCTGCCCCTTGTCAGTGCAAGTTAATATCAGCTGGTTCAGTCCCTAATGATGGCCAGGTATCACACAAGAACCATCTGATGATGGGTAAAAGTAAAGAGCTCTCTCAAGACCTTCGCAATCATATTGTCGCAAAACATAATGATGGCATCGGTTACAGAAGAATGTCTAAACTTCTGAAGGTTCCAGTGAGCACTGTTGGGGCCATAATTCAGAAGTGGAAAGAACATTATTTCACCATAAACCGACCACGACCAGGTGCTCCTYACAAGATTTCTGACAGAGGAGTGAAAAGAATTATCAGAAGAGTTGTCCAAGAGCCAAGGACCACTTGTGGAGAGCTTCAGAAAGACCTGGAATTAGCAGTACGTTTGTTTCAAAGAAAACAATAAGTAATGCACTGAACCACCATGGCCTGTATGCATGCTCACCACGCAAGACTCCACTGCTGAAGAAACAGCATGTTGAAGCTCCTTTAAAGTTTGCTGCACAACATTTAGACAAGCCTGTGTAATACTGGGAGAATATAGTCTGGTCAGATGAGACCAACATTGAACTGTTTGGATGCCATAATACACATCATGTTTGGAGGTCAAATGGCACTGCACATCAGCCCAAAAACACCATACCAACAGTGAAGTTTGGAGGTGGGAACATCATGGTGTGGGGCTGTTTTTCAGCATATGGTACTGGCAAACTTCAAATGATTGAAGGAAGGATGAATGGAAAAATGTACAGAGACATTCTTGATAAAAATCTGCTTCCATCTACCAGGATGATGAAGATGAAACGTGGCTGGACATTTCAGCAAGACAATGAGCCCAAACACAAAGCCAAGGAAACTCTCAGTTGGTTTCAGAGAAAGAAACTAAAGCTGCTGGAATGGCCCAGCCAATCAACTGACCTGAATCCAACAGAAAATCTATGGAAAGAACTAAAGATCAGAGTTCATAGAAGAGGTCCACGAAACCTTCAAGATTTGAAGACTGTTTGTGTGGAAGAATGGGCCAAAATCACACCTGAGCAATGCATGCCACTAGTTTCTCCATACAGGAGGCGTCTTGAAGCTGTCATTGCCAACAAAGGCTTTTGTACAAAGTATTAGATAAATTTCAGTAAGTGTGTTCAATACTTTTTTCCTTATGCCATTCCACATTATTACAAATAACTTCATTTCTGGACATTTATGGTTTGATTTCGCATGGATCACTTGGGTTGTTACCGACATCTGGTGAAAATTTCATGTCATTAGCACCTCTAGTAATATATTTACTGAGAAAAATGTTGACCTGTTCAATACTAATTTTACCCGCTGTACCTCCTGCCAGGAGACACTGTATTTGAGAAAGCTGGCAGGTAGTAGGAGAAAAAGCCTCTTCACACTCTCTTGAAAAGGCATTATGAATGATGCATATTTTCATCTTTTTGGCTAATAAACATTCCATTTTTTTCTAATTTAATGTAATAAAGACACAAGTTCAAGGCTGTACATAAATACGGACCAACTCAGTGGTTGGCAGAAAGAGTGTCTCTGACTAGAAAAAGACTCTACATTTTATTTGCACAATGTAAATGTGTAGATATATTGTTTATGCTCTTTCTTATTTATTTGGACCCATGAATGCAGGATTTGTCTTGAAATATTTAGTCAAAGTCAAAGGCAAGCTTTGACGCTAACTAAAATTCATTGAAATGTTAATCATCATCACAAAGTACATGCCAATTGATTCGTTTGTGAATTATTTAGCATGCATTATCATAAAAAATGCAACATTACAGTATATAGTATGCATCTAAACCTATTGGTTTTGTTCAAAGACATCTGTGAACAAGGTAGAACCTAACAGATGCTGAGGCTGTCACGCTGAACTCAGCTAATGAGGTGGAAAAAGCTTTTAAAATCCCAAGGTTCACCCTGAAAATTAAAATGTCAAAGATGACAAATTACCAATCTGCTCTTAGTCAAAAACAATACTTCCTACTTTTGCCAGTACATGTAAACTGTAAAATAGTGTTAAAAGCTTATATTGCTTTTAATCAAACCTGCCAAGTAACATCAAAAGACTTTATATAATTGAAATAAACAATCATGCCAATCTTACGCTATAAGGTTAAGGTTACTGATTCTGTGTTCCACAAAGATATCATTTTTTGAAAAACCACACCCACTTGTACTGTTCGGTGCTCATGAAGCTTTGATCTATTGCCAGTATTGTCAAACATGGCTAAAGGCTGAAAACCTGCGACAGCGAGAACAAAAAGTGATTTGTGGACCGTGGCAAAATGATATGAAACTCTAACAATAGAGAGAGTGTTGCAGCGCTTAAACCTCAGACACCCTACAGTGTTTTGTTCAGTCCGTCCCAGTCCCCATATGGTCACCTCCCCACATGCTTAAAGATCACAGCTTAGCGGCCTGCTGCCAGACACTCATGCTCATAAACACACACACACACGGTCACTAACTCCCTTAATAGTATGATAATTTACTCCACTAAATGACATTTAATGCATCACCCACTTGAACAAAGGGTGCCCCTTTGGACAGCTGCACCCACCCCCAATCCCACCTATAAACGCACACCAACCCAGTTGTGCTGGAAAACCAATCTGCGTTATGTTTAAATCCTATATTTTGGGTCAAACCGCAGACAACAGCAGTGATCCGAATATATGTAATTYGAAATGTTTGTTTCTGCAGTTCTGTATAAAATGCAGAATAAAATTTTGGGTAGTGCAAAAGACTCGTGCACAAGTCTGCGCCTACAAATAAAAAAACACACAAGAATGGTTGATTATTTTAAGGAGTGTGCCAGCCTTCTAATCGGTCTGACCCTACCAGACTAATATAAGCCCAACTAATCTCTCAACCCATCTTTGTACAGTGAATCATTAGGTTAGGTTTGCAGCAGAAGTATTGTCTCTCCCAGGCTTATTGTTGTAAAGTCAGTAAAGTTTATATATAGCCTTGGCTATGACCAAAGATTACGTTTCAATTGTTTCGCCAACGAATCCAGACCTTTCTTGTTATAACCTGCGTGTGAAAAATCAGTGTCTAAAATTCATTTTGGCTGCTTTGGAGGAAAAGTGCAGCACATATCTTACAAGGTCATGAGAGAGTAGGGACTCTTGGAAAAATACAAAAACTTCTGACAAAAACTGGGGAAACCAAAGATGATGTTTTTATCAGAGCCCTTGTCACCAGTCAAACCAGTCAGTCAGACAAAAACACTGGGTGTTATGAATATGGATCATCGTGAAAGATGACCAGAACTCTGTTCTTGTTTTTACATTTTACTGTGAAGAATTTGCTGCCAATGCACCACGCAAGACTACAAACA